GTGGTCCACCAGCGTCTTCACACCGGGGAACGGCCCTACAAGTGCTTGGAATGTGGAAAGAGCTTCAGCAAGAGCTCCAGCCTCACATACCACCAGCGCTTCCACAGTGGGGAACGGCCCTACAAGTGCTTGGAATGTGGGAAAAGCTTCAGTCAGAGCTCCCACCTCCTCACCCACCGCCGGCTGCACACAGGGGAACGGCCCTACAAGTGCCTGGAATGTGGGAAGAGCTTCAACCGTAGCTTCAGCCTTGTCATCCACCGGCGTGTTCACACCGGGGAACGGCCCTACAAATGTCCTGAGTGTGAGAAGAGGTTCCGGACCAGCTCTGATCTCCTTCTGCATCAACGAATGCACACAGAGGAGAGGCCCTTCCGCTGCACCGACTGTGGGAAGGGCTTCGTCCGCAGCTCTGACCTCATTAAGCACTGGCACATCCACACCGGGGAGAGGCCCTACAGGTGCCTGAAGTGTGGGAAGAGCTTCAACCAGAGCTCTGCCTTGACCTCACACCAAAGGACCCACCGGTAAAGGAAGCCATCCAAATGCCCCAACTGTGGGAAGAGCTTCGTCCGCTGCTTCAACTCCATCACCCATCGGAGGACCCATGTTGGATGATCCACAGTGACTCACATTGGGCAGAGACCTGGTGGGTAAAGGCCTGTTGACCAATGTTTCTGGTGACCCATGTTCCTTGTAACCCACTGTGGTAGTGCTTTACCCCCCCCCCAGGCCTCGCTATGATCTGAAAAATGCTCGTTAGGTCTCGACCTTGATGAACAGTCCCTGGGCTGAGCTACTCTTGAGCTGCTCAGAAACACTGTCTGCTCATAGGAACTGGTGCTGTCTAATGAGCTCCTGCTTTTCTTAACCAGCCTTGGAAGCTTGTTTTTCTTGTCTGAAGAACAACCCAAGTGGAATCATATTTTTGTTCTCCAACTTTGAGAGAAAGTCCCTAACCTGAACTGGGACCAGGATGGACAATTCCTGTGCCTTAAAGCCCCCTCTGCGTGGGCCCCATAACCAGTGGTGCTGATTGAGACCCTTTGAGCTCTCTGAGGCGACAGCAACCTCCCTTTGCTTGGGCCTCTCAGAGCCCCCAACTCCCCCATTTGCTGCATTCAGAGGATCCTGACTGACAGCAGATCCGGGGCTGATCCCTCTCACTCCTTGAGGCTCAGCCGTTCTTCTGAGAATGTGCAATGGCATCCCAAGGGAGGATTTTCCTGAATCCCAAGGGAATTGTTCCCAGGTACCTTGTCCAGACTCCTTCTGTCTGTGTGAGTGTGAATCTACCATAACAAATGTCCCGGGAACGCTGCTCTCCTGGATTCTTCAGCACTTTGGATTTGTAAGTCGGTCAGGCCTGTAAGTGAGTTACTGTTATGGTGTTGTAAATTCTATATGAATGCTTTGCTAAATTGTTTGACTTCAGTTATCAGTTAAGTGCTGTTAAGTTAAGTGCTGTTGGGCCTCTAGGCATAAACTGTTGATCAAGTTCAGGCTCAGTTTAGCATGGTGGCAGCTGCGACAGGGGCCTGACCCTGCCCGGGACGGCTGATGCCACCTGCCCGCTCCAAACTGGGCCAGACTGGTGCTCCCAGTGCTGTGTGGGCCAGGGCCGCTTTTGGGGACCCCCCTGGCATTGTCCGGCTGCTTTTGGGGTGTCAGCACCTGCCCAGTGCTGGGGATGGGTTGTGTGGGAGGAGTTGGGGCTGGACTGGTGGTGCTGGGAACCCCCCCAGCTGCGGGCGAGGGGAACTCGGGGAAGCGGGAAGGGGAGAGACAGTGGGAAAACAGGGCAAAAGAGGGAGTGGGACACCCAAACCAAGATCAGTGATGGCTGGGGATTGTGGACGATTGGAAAGGGGGAGGAGAGAGAGGAAAAGGTGTGGCTCTGGACCATCAAAATGAGCTGAGAGGGGCTAGGTCACCAAATCCAAGCAAGGTGAAGAGGGATACCAAGCTGTCAGAGGAGCTGGGGATTGTGAGGATGATGAGGAAGGTGTGAGACAGTGAGGAAAAGAGTTGGAACAGCGGGCACAGGTGTCCCATGGGGGTCCTGTTGCAGGATGCTCTGCCTGGAGTGGGGTAAAACAACACCAGCGAGGCCCTGTTTGAAAAGCCCTCAGTGGGAAATTAAGAAGGCTGGGGAGGAGGTTGTCATGTTGTTTTGGGGACTGAACAAAGCTGAAACCAGCCTGACTCATCAATCCCTAAGTTAAACATCCTGAGAGTGAGAGAATATTTGGCAGACCTTGTAAAATATCTGGATATAAAGGAACAAACAAGTGACACCACTGAGAACTTCTCCACAGCTGCTGAGCTGGCATAGCCTGGACACACCTGACTGACAGTCCAGCACTTTATACTAGAAAAACCCAGTCCCAAATTTTAAAGGCAGGGTCTTCTGACATATCCCTTCTTGGGATTGTGTGTGGAGATTCCTGCCTGGAGTGGGGACATCCCTCAAAGTCAATCCTCAAGGCTAAACCAAAGAGATTTGCCTAAGGTCTTTGGTCTGGGTGAGTGACATCAATCTCTACTTAATAATTGGTTTTGGTTAAATGCAATTGCTTTAGTACAGTTGCTTCAATATTGTTTTCTCGTGCACTATATTACAACGGTTGTTATAGCTCCTATACTGGGTAGTAAATAATTCTGATTAAGATATTTTTACTTAATCATTATCATAATAAATCCTATATATATTTATATAAATATATCTGGTTTGTAGTCCAGACCCCTGGGATGTCACCATGGAAACCCTGTCACTGCATGGGACATCACAGCTCTTTAGCAGCATAGACACCTCTGTTGTCACCATGAAGCCTCTGTGAGTGCCTGTGGCAAATTGGCTCCTTAGCAACCATCACAATTTCCTGTTGCTGTGGTCAGTTTCCATGACAACCATCACCAGGACATGTTGCTCATGCATGGCCTGTGGCAGCTCCATGGAGATGCAACCACACCGGGGTGGTTGCCATGGGAACAAGCTGAGTCCTGTAGCCAGAGTCTGTTGCTATGGCAGCGATTTACGATCCTATACTGCTTGTCAGTTACCACAGCACCCATCAGTGGACCCCTTCCTAAGTGTGGTGCCATGGCAACCAAGATTTGGACCAGTTGTGATAGTTGGTTGCCGTGAAAACCTGCATTAGGGCACATTGCTATGGGTTTGTGCCATGGAATTCTGGGTCTGTGACGTTTCTGTGGCAGCTTGGGTCAGCTGTCCCGGCAATCATCATAGAAACCCATTGCCAGAGACTGTTGTCATGGACACTTGCACTGAGACCTGTTGCTAAGTCTGGTTGCCATGGCAACCATCAAAAAAGACCCATTGCTATGGTGGTTGCTATGACGACCTGTAGGGAGACTGTTGATGCAGTTTCCATGGCAACCATCAATAAATCCATTGCCAGGGACCTCACTCATGGGCACTTCCATGAGTTGTTTGCCATGGAAACCATC